ATGGAGAAAATTGGTCATCGTTATGTGATACAATACTTTTATTTGAAAGGCCTCAGTCCATCCAATGTAAAAGCTGAAATAGATTTTGCTTTGGGAGGGTCTGCTCCTTCGTTTACAACAGTAAAATATTGGGTAGCAGAGTTTCAACGAGGTCGTACGAGCTGCCAAGACGAGCATCGCAGTGGTCGACCAAATGAGGAGACGACTCCAGAAATGGTGATGAGAGTTCGCGAGCTAGCAGATATAGTAGGCATTTCAAAACGTACGGTACATCGCATATTATGTGAAGATTTGGAAATGAGAAAGCTGTGTCCAAGATGGGTGCCGCAGTTGCTCACACTCGACCAAAAACAGTGTCGTGAAGAGGTTTCAATTGAGTGGTTAGCGAATTAATGAATTAATGTTTGATTTGCTACCTCATGCACCCTATTCGCCAGATTTAGCCCCCTCGGACTTTTTTCTGTTCCCCAACTTCAAAAAATGGCTCCGTGGTCAAAGATTTTCTAACGATGAAGAAATGATGTCGGCAGTTAATGGCTATTTTGAGGAGCAAACCCGTTCTTATTATAAAAAGGGTATCGAACTAATAATTGAGCATCGCTGGGAAAAGTGTATAGAGCTGAAAGGAGATTATGTTGAAAAATAAATATATTTTTCCCAAAATTTTTGTGTTTTCTTTGTTAGGTCGGGTACTTCTGGGCCACCTCCGTACTTTACAGATGGTTCAGAAGCGCAGTACAAAAATGGAAAAAAATTTGTCAATCTTATTCATCATGACATGATTTCGGTTGTCCAGGAAAATGGAATTTGCATGCAACCTCTCAGGGCAAAGGTCCGTGCGATGGAATAGGAGGAGTTATAAAAAGGACAGCTGCAAGAGCAAATCTTCAACGACTTTACAACCACCAAATAACTTTTTGAATGAGCTAAAATCCATTTGATTGAAATTTCCGTAAAATTGTGCACGAATATGAAATTGAATCAGATTTCTTAAATGTTTGGTTCAAAAATTTCATTACACTTCCTGGTTCACAGCAAATACATGCCGTTATTCCGTTTTCTAAAACAGAAGTAATGGCTAAGTAATTCTCCCTTTCGGGGGAATATAACAATGTGGCTTTATTAGAAACTATGAAAAAGAAAACAATTCGTAGGCCTCGAAAAATGCATTAAAGAACCGGTAAATGTGAAAAAATTTACAGTTTACGGATTTTTTCTAAGATGGCAGAGGGAACTTAAATTTGTGTATGAAATTTGTGATGTAAAACGTTCAATTGTATTCGTGGTGTGTAAGAAATTGATAAATAAATTACTGATGTTGGTTTCTTTCAGTTGTCTTGTTAAGAATCGTACATTTATTGAAAAAAAAAACCTAAAACTGAATAAATTTAACTTTATTGACTTCAACTCTGGTAGTCTTAAACTTTTCGCACGACTGTAACTTATTTTTCTTGAACACTTAAGGCAGTCCCACGATGAAACTTACAGGTCATGTGGGGGACATTTGGGCCTAGATTTGAAAAAAATTTAAGAAATTGAAGACCACCTATTTTCAACATGGCGACTTATATTTCTTTGTCTTTCAAAAAAATTAAATTTTTTTGTTTTGTAAACTAGATTCCTCCTATTTAAAAGTGAATTAGTTTGTGATTAATTTCTCATATTAAAAACTTATATTGGATGAATGGAAAAAAGTTATAACGATTAAAAAAAAATAGTACCAGAAATTTTGAAGTCTTATATAACCGCAATTTTTTAAAATTTTCAAAAAATATTTAATGGTAATATTTTCCATAATATAAGGTTTGATTACACAGAATATTAACCAAATCCTATTAAGTCATTAAAATATCTGTCATGAGTTGACGTGGAATTCGCCATTTCTGTTCTTTCTGTTACATGGACACTCCGAACCGCATGCAGCTTCTTTGATCAGTGACCCACTGTCTCAAGTGTTAACAGCTTAGTTTAAAAACAGTTTGGGGTATCCGCAGATAGCATAAATCCAAAATTTCGAATTTGAAGTAGCACTGCTATATGTTTTCGGAAATTTTTAACTGTGCTTTCACCACAAATGTAACAAAATACTATTTGCTCGTTGGGACCACTTCTACGCGATGAAGACCTGATATCTGAATCAATTCATATATAGAAACTAACCAATAAGACTTCAATTTACGCCCACAAAAGTACTGATTACGGCCAACATCCAAAACTGACGTAAAATTCTAAACTAGATGTAAAAATATTTTTAGCATTGTCAATGCACACCTAATAACAAACCTCTAATGATATCTCAGCAACAAAAAATGTTCTTCAAATTGTTGACCTGTGTGCATCATAATCATTTTTATCCACACCTCCATTATGTTATTCTCCGTTGTAAACAACCCAGGGGCTTCTTTCAGCAAACCCTTCACCCAGCCCCAGTTTACTTAATTTTTTTTTAATACATTTCTTATTTTAAGAATTTAAACTGTTTATTAACACAAAAATTCATAAAAATAAAGTAGGCTTAAAGTGCTCTATAAATCGGAAGTTTTTATGAAAATTTTACTTTATAAAGCCTTAAAAATCGAATTTATGGTTTATGAATAAAGCGATTAACGTTTATTACTTCTTACGGAAGTATAGCTCGTTATCTAATTCTGAATTTCGAACTTTGTACAAAATAAATGTAATCAAAAACGTTAACAAATGTTAGAAATATTGGTATGCAGTTTTAAAGCCTGTTAAATTTTATTGTAATAATTTTTGTTTTTTTTGTAAATTTTTGTTGTTGACGGTGCTACTAATTAAAAGGCTCGAAATTTTGACAAAACTTTGCCGAGTTATCTTATTTTTGTATGTATTCTGTTTGAACATGAACTTACATGGTTTTTGTTAGACTTTTTAAAATGTCGCGTCCCTATTTATATTTGTGCTACTGTATATATGAAAAAATTAAATAAAAATTGCACAGGTGATGCAGAATTTTAACTACCTCCATTCGGTATTAAAATCTTATATGTACATACCTTGAAATTTAATTTTTTTGAATCAATATTGCACTTTTATACTGAGGGCCGGTTGTTCAACGTCTGGTTAACGCAAACCGGTGGTAGAAGCTCCGGCTAAATAAAAAGACTGCTTTATCGATCACATGTTATAAGCATGATGTACTTGAAATCGTCAATAATGATGTTTAACTGGGAGGTAGTGATAACCAAACATTGAACAACGGGACCTAAGCGCGTGTAAGAGTATTTTCTTAGCGTCTATCTGCCTACATACTTCTGAAAATGGAGTTTCTTGAGTCCATTTGGGATCGAAATATGTAAGTGCATTGTCTGCGTCCTCTTTAAGTGGAGGTGTGCACATGCACACTAATGCTTTTATTGTTTCGTTGTTTTAGTAATAGCATACATATTTGGGGAATATTGCTGAAGTGATGGTCGTGGGAACTTTTTGACTTTTTCCCTGCCTACCAATAATTTTATAAGTTTTTTAAATATCTAGCACGTCGAGGATTAGCTTTAGTATTGAGACGTGGGATATTTAAAATGTTTTAGCAATTTGCCTAAAAGCCAAAAATTAATCAATTTAAAATAATTTTTTTACTTAAAAACCACTAACACTATGAAAAATGAAGGAAAGTAATTTTCTCGGAAACTTTAGGTGATGGAAAATTTTTTTCGTTGCTTACTGCCTAAAACCTATCCAACTTAGTAATTAGTTTTTTGAGAGGGAACCCATCACAGGCTTATGTTATCAGCGTGGAATTTCTTGTATCAGTTCTGACATTCTTTTAGATCATTGTCACCATAATTATTATGCAATTTTTTACAATCATTTAAACGGTAAGCTATTAGAGAAGTAACAAATGAAAACCATATGTATGAAAGATGATATAGGGGTATTTCCATACGTCGCATACGTGACAGTCGTACGTATCAATGTGATACAAACAAGGAATACCATTTGTTTTCTTTAACTTTTTTGGGCCATTGAATAGCACTTAATTAGCTCCATATTTAACCGAAAAATGAAAACTATCGAACTGCTTGCTTGGTCCTGAAATATAAGCATTTAAAGAGAGTATCGTTGGGTGACAAAAAATGGAAGTAGATTTTTTCTTTTCTTACAAAATCGCAAAACTCTGCGAATTGTGGATGGCTGTTTTCATGAAACTTATTTTAATATGATTTGGAGCAATTCTAGTTGTTTTTAGAGTTTTTTGAATTAATGCAACTTGTTTCAATTTTCTTTTACAATCCGAAGTGTGAAACGTCATAAATTTCCATCGTTATATTTTTGTTAATATTGCTTTTAAATGAATTTTTAACGCAAATAAAACATGTATTTTATGTAGAATATACTTTATATTTTAACTTCAGCACCAATTCAGGGCGAATTTGTTGGAAATCTATGACTTATTATGTTTCAACTACATACGCCAAATTCGAACCAAAACGGGCCATAAATACGGTTTTTCGAAATATCTGAACCTTGGCGCCACCTAGGAAGACCACTTTACGCAAAGATGATTCTACTTACATAGCCAGTATATATTTTAAAAAAGCGTTGTAAAAAGCAGACAAATCGGCCCGTACATACGTTAGATATAAGACTTTTATTTATTTTTTGTCGTGGTGGACCTTCCGATGGAAACACCCATTTGTAAAAGACTCAAACTGCCAAAACTGCACTTGCACCAGCTGTCACAAATATACGTAATGACTTTTTACTCCACCCAGAACATGATTTAAAGATTAAAGGTAAAGGGTGTTTTTAGAGGTTTGGTTTTCCGATAAAGTTACAAATCGGCCCCATCCGAGCCAGCCGGCATGCCCGAAATTTTATTCAAAACACTAACATAAACTTATTTTTCTGTAACGTAAATTTAAGCTTAACATATTTTATTTATATTTAAAGCTCTAAACCTCTAAAAAAACACGCTTTATCATACACACATGTGGATATAAGAAGTAATTTAAAAAAATGCGTAAAACAAAATCTACCTCATCCGCCGGCACATCTACATTTCGTAAAGCAGCCAGTTTTTTCTCCAAATCAGCTAAAGAACTCTTTGTAAGGCATCCAATTTGACGGTGGCCTGTACCACCTTCGGGTTGCCCGGCGCCAGCGCTTGCACTAGATGTACTGCCGCCTACGCCGCAAACTATTTGACAAATCTTTAATAATGAAGACACTCTTACACTACACGTCCTACTTACCTTCAGAGTGCAATTCGTTAGGGGTGTGGGCAGACGAGCACGAAGCAGCACCACTACTGGTGGGTACTTGGGCACCAGGAACTTGATACGATGACTCCACTCCTTCAATAACATTCGTAGTAAGATGCTGAAAGTCAGAACCACCACTGATGTCAAGAGATGTGCGACGCGAGTTATACACAGACGAACCACGAGCTGAGTTCAAAATACCCGTTGGTGTGCTTTGACCAAGTGATTGTGCGGATGTTATTGGTGATGGTCTGTAAATCTGTATACAAATCAAATTATTTCAAACAATTTAGTCATACTAATTTAGTGATAAATTACAAAATGCGAGCGTGAAAACGTAATTAGCAAATATGCATATACGTAGTAGTACAAAGTGTATTGTTTTAACAATGAAATGGTGAATTGAAAAATGAGATTTAGTTACACAAAATAAAGTAATTAGTTGATGTTAAGACAACTAATATTTTTTACTCGAAACGTAACACTGGAATAAATAATTTCTTATAATTCCTAAGCGTTTTTCAATTTGCCTTTATTTTATAATCTCCTAGAATTAGGCATCAGTAAAAATATTCAAGCATAAAACTTAAAACGAAAGCAGTGAAAAGTAAACGAAACATCTTACTTTCACACAGAAATGGAAAAATGAAAACAATAGCGTAACTGGTTTATCAGAACCCTAATACTTTGTACTACCTCTTCTTGATGCTGCTGTTGTTGTTGTGGAGGCATTGGTGCCGACGATGATAGAGCTGCGATAGGAACCGTTGGCTGCTGGTTGCTTTGTTCATTAGCATTATTAATCGAAGCTACTACAGAAGTGGCAAAAGCATGAGCATGTGTAATATTTTCTAACTCGATTTTTAATTGTTCCAAAGTGTTGCTGGCTGTATTATTCGATGATGCAGATGTCACGGATGATACAATTGTTTGTGTGTTAGATGCTGCGTTTGGCATTGGTGCCGCAGTCGTCATCACTGTGGTACTGGAATTCGACAACGTATTATTGCTTGTCTCCGACGCTACCGCGCTATCACATGAATCGGGAAGCATGACTACGCTATTTCTTTGTGTTTCTGTAAAAGTGACTGGAAATGGGGCTGGGACTGGAGCTGAGGCTTTCGCTTCGAATCCTCCTTCTTCAGCAGTGAAAGCCTTTTGATTAACTGGTGTAGTCGCAGTAACTTCTAGTGTGCCATCTCCAGAAGATGAAATAACAGGGTTTACAAGAAATCTGGATATTTTTCTGCCCGTTGCCGGCACAGCGGATGACGGCGATATAACCATTGGAGCATCATTATTTCGCTTGTTTGGTTCATTTTCAACTTCAACACTATTATGATATTTTTCAATATCCTTGGCTTTATCTGGTGCCGATGCACTTGTTTCTTTTATTGCCGTGCGATGCCTAGCATCAGGTGAGGTTTCGTCATTTTTGGCATCCCCAAACGTTTCCATTTTTGTAACATCCGCTGAATTTAAATTTGCTTGTGCATTCTTTATTCCAACAGTTTCGACTACAGACACTTCACCACAAACTTCTATGTCGTTGGGAGGATTCTCCATTGCGAAAGCAGATGTAGACGAAGTAATTGTATTGTCTGGTGTATAATCAGATGATAAGGACGTGTATTCCGATGCAGTGCTCGTCTTCCGAGAAACCGATTCAGATCCAATCAAATTATCACTACTATTGTTAGGCGTTTCTGATGCTGTAGTTGTGGTAGATGAAGACATTGAAGTTGTTGTTGCGGGATTGCTTTTTACTGTTACTGCTGCAGCAAATGAAGCGCCTTGAGCTGGCGGTCGACCATTAACATTTTCTCCGCTTCCCGAGTTCGTGGTAGTTGCAGCCGGAGTTGATGGCAAGTTAGTTTTTTCAGTAGACAGGGAGCCAACGCTTGAGGATAGTGGCTCGGTTGCTAGCATGGTAGGCTCAAACATTTTAGACATGTCAGTTGAAGTCTCATCGCGCTAAAATTATGTGTTTTAGTTATTGAATTAAAAAAATAGTACTTGTTGTTTGCTTTGTGCAATCACAAAAGATCAAAAATATAAAAAAAATTATAAACATATATAAGAACTAAAAACTATAGATTATGATACCTAACAATACCAGGGTTTTTGGTTATGCTCTTATACTAATATTATTTTAAAATTAATAACAATGAAAAAATATTAGTAGGGAATAAATTTAATTCAACTTATACTTAAGGATAGATATATTTATGTATTGTTTTATTTATACAGATTACTTTTATATTGAATTACAAAAGAGTAACTAACAAAAAAATTCAAAAATCACATTCTAGTTGATTATACCTAATGCTTTTCATCGAATTAACAAGTCACCAAATCGGTTTATGTAAAAAAAATTTTGTTAGTTACGACTTTTACATTTCGGGTGACGATACAAAAATATAACCAATACAATATTTCACAGTCATTCATTTTAATGAATATATATTTTACAAATAAAAAACATTAGGTTTACAATAACAATGCTTCCTACACCACATTTGATTAAATTTTTTAGTTTTAACAAGATACACCAACCGGAAAAATGTAAAACTAAAATTATTCGCTCCAGATTTTAAATTCATTGCCAAATTTAACTTAAAAAACGGAAAGTCAAAACAGAAAATAATACATTTTAGTTGTTAGCGTATTAGTAATATAGTATCACACAGGGGCACACACCTTTTATGTAACATTTGCTTATAACTCCACAAGGAAGCCGCAGAACTGTACATATCTAATTAGTACAAAGTGCTAAAAGATATTTTTTTTTGTAATTTGACAAAAATTAAAATTAACCAAAACCACAAACTAAACCAGACTCACCATGCAAAAAAAGAAAAAGCTTCCAAATCTGTAAGATTTTCTTTTGTTAGTTATGTGCCAGCAATTTTAAACTGATAGGTCGTCAAAAAACATCTAAAGTGTGTTTTTGAAAGTTATGATTTTGGAGAAATTGACCAGCAATACAATTAGGGAGTTCACAAGGTGTTGCATACTGTCCCATAATTGTATGTCGTAAACCTTAAACGGATAAAAATATATGAACGACATTCGCAAAGTACCATAAACTTCATATTATGAATTTTCACATTAAACATTTATTTGAGCCTTTAAAAGAACATTAAATGATAATTATAATTTGTATGCCATGTTTGTGATTACTAGATACAGATACACATACAAATATAATATATACAAAAAAAGCATACCAAAACAGCTATGCCCGTTTTTATATGTGTTTGAATGCGAACTAATCTCTCAATTTACGAGGTATTCGACACAAATTTGGTTTTGAAACCGACTAAATCGGACCACTACAACATACATACGAATAGAGTTCACAGTGAAAATCATTAACATGGGCCCACTATAACTTATAGCCCCATCCAAATTATTGTTGAGACATGAGGTTTTTTCTTTAAAACTCCTCCATTAAACAGGTGCACCATAAAATTATGCGAGCTATTTAGCAAGGAAGCACCGAGTCTACTGAGAATGTTGTCAAGATCGGTGCTGTACAAGGTATATCTCCCTTACCACTGATTGTTTAGGTAAGAGTCCTTGTGATGTACATATGTAACTGCTCCATTTAAATAGCTGAAGACCTGACATTTTGAAAGTCATTAAGATACATTTAATATATGTAATGCATAGCTCCCAAACCGCTTCTCATAAGCAGAAAATCGCAGTTCAAAGTCCGCGTAAAACCATAGGTTCCTCCCATTTGTGTGACAACATCAAGGTGAACGCCACAAATCGGAAAAAAGCTCGATCAAACACTAACACATTTTGTAAGCGCCAGACTATAATTATTATTATAGTTCTTCAACAAGACGACATATGTGGGAAGTGGAACCACATTCCCCGCTCATAACGTACCACCGCCGAAGAAGTATGTGAGACCGGTATAGGGAGCTGAAGAGGGCCGAAATATGTGAATGCGAAAAACTCGAAATGCTGGCTGACAGGAAAACGCACGAAAATTTTACCAGATAGCGATTTGAGGAAGGTTTGAAGCCCAGGGTGAACTCCTTTGGCGACCACCACACTCAATGGTAAGTACTGAAAGTTGTGGAGAAGACGAACCCGAGCCCCCAGTCGGTGCTGACTAGAGATTTTTTTTGCGATCCCGGGATTTCGAGACATCTTTCATACAATCCCGGGATCCCGGGATTTAGATATTCATTATTTTCCAACAACTTAACATGAAACAACTACATCAATATAGTTTGAGAAGCTGTCCTACCATATAATAAATCTATATATATAAATGTGAATGGTTGTTTGTTTATTACCTTATAACTTCCGAACCGCGGCACGGAATCGCACGAAACTTTGTACGCTTATCTGCTTTTACCCCGGGCAGGTTATAAGCATAGAGAAAAATGGGCAGTACTGGAAAAGAGGGTGTGGCACCTCCTATACTAACTAAAATTTTCATGTTGTATATCTCTTGAAATATTTGTGGCATGCTTATGGTAAAATATGGGCGGTATTGGAAAAGGGGGCGTGGCACCTCCCATAGGCGTGAATTATTTAATTAGCTCTAACTTCGGAACCGTAAGTCACATGAAATTGAAATTTGGTATGCAAACATATCTATGGTAGATGCTTATCTTAAGGTATATACAAATGAGTTTGTAAAAGAGGGGCGTGGCATATAACATAGGCGTGGAATTTTTAGTCAGTCATATCTTCGGAACCATAAGTCACATGGGCTGGAAATTTAGTATGCAGACATATGTATTGTAGGTGCTTATGGTAAGGCATCTATATTTAAATACACTACAATAAAATTTTGAAATCTCTTTTTTGAAAGCACCGTTGGCTCGATTTCAATGAAACATATACCGATTTAAAAGATATAACTTCGTCTAATCCAGAAATGTTAATTCCGATACATAGGGGGCGTGGCATCTGACATATAGCCTAAAATGTGAAAGCCACTATATCTCCAAAACCAATTATTTTGAGGAGCTGAAACTTAGCACAGATACATAGATTGTAAATACCCTACTTACGGTGAAAAATGGTAGGTACTGGGAAAGTGGGCGTGGCACTTCCCATACAAACTGAAATTTTCATATCGCTTATCTCGGGAACCACTTAAGCTAACGTCCTGAAATTGGACACAGCAACATATGTTGTCAATACCGTACTTTCGGCGAAGAGTGGTACATTTTTGGAAGGGGGCGTGGCACCGCCCACACAAACTGAAATTCTCATATCGCTTATCTCTGGAACCGCTTATGCTAACGTCTGAAATTTGGCACAGCAACATATGTTGCCAATAACGTACTTACGTAGAAAAGTGGTAGATTTTAGAAAAGAGGGCGTGGCACCACCCATACAAACTGAAATTCTTATATCGCTTATCTGTGGAACCGTCAATGCTAACGTCCTGAAATTTCACACAGCAACATATGTTGTCAATACCACACATACGGAGAAAAGTGGTATATTTAGGAAAAGGGGACGTGGCACCGCCCACACAAACTGAAATTCTCATACCGCCTATCTCTGGAACCGCTTATGCTAACGTCCTGAAATTTGACACAGCTATTTATGATATCAATAGCGTACTTATGGCGAAAAGTGGTAGATAATGGGAAAGGTGTGGCACCGCCCATACAAACTGACATTCTCATACCGCTTATCTCTGGGCCCGCATACGCTAACGTCTTGAAATTCGACACAGCAACATATGTTGTCAATACCGTACTTATGACGAAGAGTCGTAGATTTTGGAAAAAGGGGCGTGACACCGCCCATACAAATTGAAATTCTCATATCGGTTATCTCTGGAACCACTTATTTTAAGGCAATGAAATTTTATACACCTAGATTTATACACATATAAAATCACAAGAATCATTCAATTGGGAACCATTTTCTCCCAGATTTTAAAATCGCATTGAATCATTGTTGTTTTGTGAAAAAGTTTTTAGAAGTTCCAGTGTGTTTCAGGTGGCGCAGGGATTGAAAGCTATCCTAAAAAATCATATTTATGATCAGATTTGTTTCACTTTTAAAACACATATTAGTAACATAAAATTTGGTGTAACTTGGTAGCCCAATCGTGTGATGAAAGAATATTGGGCTCCGGCCCAGTCTTGATAAAAACCCGTGCGAAACCGCCGTTAGAGAAGGAAATATTATCTTTTGTTGTAAACCTTCAGGATACTTTCTCAACCGTTAACGAGTCTGACGAAAAAAGAAAGAGTTTATGTAGATGTGGGCAATTTAGTTTTTAACCTACAAGAGGCTCTCAGACAAATATAATCGAAAAACTTATTTAGTCTGAATTGGTATATGTTTGATATTAGTCAGTGATGAACATCTCATCTATACATACAAATACATATGCATATTTTTTATAACTGAAAATTGAGGTTCCTTTTTCGGTCTATTTTCAAAAGTTACTCTGAAGATGTTTGGAGGAGGCTTGGTAGAACTAGCATTAATCAATCCGGCATTAACGTTCATAATTCGATTTTAAGTTTTCCTGTAAATTCGTTATAAATTATGCTGGTGGACTTCAAAATAGTATTTCGAATAAAGGAGTTAGTATTGGTTACAGGTAAAATTCAAAAGTGTATGGAAAAAGATGTCGAATTTCGACAACTGGGCGATACTAGTATATATAAATGAGACTGTGAAAGGGGCGGCAAATCCCAAAGGCGTCGAATATTTTACCAGTTATAACTTCGGAACAATAAGTCACATAAACATGACATTTGGTATGCAGAGATATCTATGGTAGGTGCTTATAGTAAGGTATATATAAATGAGTTTGTAAAAGGGGCCGTAGCCCTTAAGATAGGCTTGGAATTTTTTAACAGCCATAACTTCGGAACCACAAGTAACATGACCCCTTTAATTCCTTCTGACGTGGGGTGAAACCCGCGGGTAAAAGCTAGTATTAAATAAATGGGTTTGAAACCTACTTTATT